TATACAACAAATAATATATATAATATATATATTTATTAAACATATATTTCAATATTAAAATATTGTTTATATTAATATTTGCTTATTTTGTATCAAATATCAATAAAGCATGAATTTATTGATATTTTTTGACATCCCTAGAATGACGTATTTTTTTACAGGTGTTTGTTTGTCCTATGGTCTGTTTATTGTTTTGTCCGTTTATCCATTTGTCCTTCTGTCCGTTAATCCGTTTGTCCGTTAATATTATTAGTTTATCCTTTTTATCTGCTAATATTTGTGTCCGTTAATCCTTTTTGTCCGTTAATATTTGTGTCCGTTAATCCTTTTTGTCCGTTAACATTTGTGTCCGTTTTTTGTTTCTTAATATTTTTGTCCGTTCAGTTGTTTGTCCGTTAATACGTTTGTCTATATAAAGTCCTAGATCTCCTTGAACTTCTATATCACCTGCATCCCGTAGATCTTTCTTCTAAGTTTTCTATATATCCTGGAAATTCAAAATATTGTGACAACATTTCCATTTAGTCTTCAAATTTAACCACGCCCTAAGCCCAACCCAAATCTGTACAAAACCAAAACCCTCTAGCCTTGAAGTCTCTCTAGAAATGATATAGATATACAATCTAAGGTTAACTTTACATGTTATGGCCATAATTTCAGGACAGAACCTTAAGTAAGCAGGATTCATATCATTTAGGTCAAGTTCAGTTAACTCGGCCTTATCTCAGGAGATTTACTATCTCAACATACTTACTATGTCTATTTCTATCCCCCGTCCCCCCCCTAAATCTCCAATCCTGTTTTGGATACACAACGTATTTTGCCTGGCGCTACGGAATTCCGGAATTTATGGGTCCCCGACAGACGCAGATTTTGGCGGCGCTGGGGGGAGGCAGGCAGGCGCAGGGCGCAAGGCAACAAAACAGTTTACGGAAATTTATGTGGCCAGAAATTTGCACATGTTAATTGCTACAAAACAGCGAACAGAGGGAGGGAGGCACTGAGATGTAGATGGATGCCAGGGATGCTACTGGAACGACTCCATAACTAACGCAATGCCCAAGGTCCACTGATGTCCGTCCACCGTTGACGGCGAGCCATAAAATTTATGGATAAATTATCAAATTTATTTATTTTGCGTTTCGCTCTTGGTTTGTGTTTACTTTCACAGATTTCTTTTTACAAAATTTTTTAGCTGCAACAATTTTTCATAATTTTGCCGCTAGCATAAATCAACGACAAGAGGGAGACGGAGATGGGGCAAGGCGGAGGCACCGGCACCGGCACCGGCACATCGTTCTAGTCATTTGTTTTGGGGCAACAGTTTTGCAGTCACCGCACGCAGGCGAAGGCGACACAGTTTCCTTCAGCTTTCTCCCGCTTTTCCCATCCCTCCCCCTACCCCTCCTTGCCGCTTTTATTATTATTTTTTTCCTGCCAACAAAAGCAGGCAAGGACCCAGAAGGAAATATGGCCAAAAGGGGCGAATGAGAGTGTGAATGTGGGTGTGGGCACTCGAAAAAATTGAAAATTTACAAATAATAATAAAAAAATACCTCTTTAAAATCAAGTTTTAAATAAGGAAATTCAAAAGAAGCTTCCCAAATTCCAGAATTTAAAACAAAGGAAATAAAACAGCTTTTTTGAATAATTTTTCAACAGATATTATTGAAAATATTAATAAAACAGACCGCGAATTAATTTCTAATATTGAAATATGATCAGAAACTCAATATTCTAAAATTCTATATAAATATTCTCATCAGAAAAAGAACTTAGATATACCTCAACAACAAGTTGCAAGGTCAGACTCAGCTTTGATACCTTAACAAGGCCATACTGAGGTTTTTATTGCTTTAAAAGATCCCATTTCTTATCTAATTGCTTTTAAATCTAAGGATAAGAAATCCTATAAATCCTATAAATTTAAGAACAATTCCCGAAACTGAGGCTGCAATTATCCTCCAAGTAAATATTGGATAATTTAGTTAGAATAAAACATAATATATAGAATTTTCTTTCGGTGTATCCGCTTGGAACGTAAGCGAGCTTGAGCGACGATGTCTGGCACAATTACGACAGCAGCAACAGCAACAACAATAACAATAAGAACAACAACACCACGTCGGTCGTCGTTCTCGTTGTCGGTTATTACCGTTACTCTTTGGCGTCTTTAATTAAGGCGTGGGCGGGGGCGGTCATGGGCGTGGGCAAAACAACAATAACAAAAAAATTATATATATACATATATATGTTTAATTTGTTTGTAATTAATATGCTGAGGTTTTGGCTTTTGTTGGGCCAGAATGCATCACAATGCTCATTGGTCATACTGAGCAGCATCCAAAAAAACGGTCATACCAAGGCGAAATTTCGAAATAAATAAATTAATTATTTGCAGATAGTGAATTGCTATACCTTTTCCCATATATGCATGTTACATATCCATATAACTTAGCTTTTGCAATACAAATTAGCTAACTTGTATAGATATTTCATTGAGAATTTAAATTAAACCTATTAAAAAAAATATTTTGAATTTCTAACACTAACTTAAAGAAGGATCTGATTTACTTTATTCAAATATTCATTTATTTTTAATATAAGCCATTATTTCACTAAAGGCCAAACTTGCAAACTCCAATTTGCAGCCAAAAAATAATAAGATACAAATTAACTTGTAAATTAATTTAATATTTAATTTATCATGTTCCGTAATGAAAACTGCACTCACCTGATGCTTGAGCAGCGAACTTTCCGGATCGGCCAACTGTTGCCAAAAGTCAGTGTCCACAAATCACGAACGCGATCGAGTTAATTTTGTTTGAAGTGCCACCACTAAGGGTTAACGGTACGCGATCCAAGCCCAAATACAACAACACTTCACTTTTTTTTCACCGCACTAATAAGCCGCTAGTTTTGTTGTTGCTGGCGATGCTGCGAATCGAGGAAATCTGGGAAAAGCTGGCGGCGGCGTCGCCGCGTGCACGTGGTCTTGGCCATGGCTATAACGGGGTCCTTGCGCGACCGGGAAACACGGACCAGTTTTTCCGCTGGCGCGGCACTTGCAATCACTCACAAAAAAAGGTGCAAACAAAAACGGCGTCGGCGGCGGCTGATAGCAACACTTTGACAACTCGCGAGTAGGCTGGACTTTGTCGCACGCGGTGTCTCCGAGTTTTCGTTCGATTTTCCGCTTGGGGCTGTCGTCCGCGCAGCTTCCGTGGAGCTTGGAAAATTGTAAACAAAGAAAATGGGGCTGACAGTTGATGAAAAGTTATCAATATATCGATATCGATATACGGAAATCCTGCTGTTACTTAACATTTTACATCTTACACAGCTGGATAGCAATTTTACACGCTTACAGATGCATGGTGTCGAATTCTCACCTTTGGGGTCAAAATCATATGTAGGAAGTCGAATACACATGTAGAAAGTAGTGTGCATTAACAGACCTGCTCTAATTAACATAATTCGATATCTATATCGATATCGCCATTTTTTTGGTCGTTTGTTTCTGGTCACTCTGAATCCCTAAGCTGTTGTTTAACATCTTACACGTCTAGAAAACAATTTTACACTCTTACAGATATATGTAGAAGAATTATGTAGAATGTAAAATGTAAGACATCCGCTCCCATCAACAGAGGAGAACGTAAATTAACAGAAATCTTTCACGTTGGCTTTTGGGTGCAGGGCTGTCACTTCAGCTTGTTTTCCGCCAAATCTGGCTCTTTTGGACGGTCAGAAGCGGGACAATATTGAGAATTGCAGAAAGGAATTCTGGGTAATATAATAAATAATACAAAATATTTAAATATGATATTTTATACTATTATTTATTTTTTTATACAGATGATATCATCGATAAAATATTTTTTTAAATATTAAAAAACCCTAGCTCAGAATCTAGCTAATACAGTTGGTTACAACTTGGCAGCACTGACTGCAAGCAAACGATGTAACATCGATAAGAAACATATCGATGTCATGTTTTATGTATTTTACATTTATTTTAGATATTATTTATTAAATATCATTTGAATGGCTATAATCCTTATATTTCACTAGTTAACTTAGTTATATTCATTGTTTTTATTATAGGTTCATATATCCAATTATTTCCAAGCTCTATTCCCCAGTATAATAGTTGCTATAAAATGTGAAGGTGGCGAACATGGCTAAGCTAAAGTGGCTTAAAGATAGTTGTTCATTTTACATAAACATTTCAACGTACACTTCTTTGGCCTGTTCGGCATCCTTATAAATATATTTTGTTAGTTTTAAATTGTTATTTATTTAGAAAACATTACAGATTCTTGGTTTCAAACCTTTTATAACAGAATCGATAGAGGGCATCCGCTGGCAGTGCTGCCACACCCTTACTCAAGGCTTTAGAAATATTTTTCAAGTCGTGCACACACTTGTAACGTATTTTCAAATTTGAAATTATCACCGCCAAAGCTTATTATACCACAAATGCTCCAAATATGCGAAATTATTCATAAATCCACCAACTTACCTTTAAAATACAGTCTATTCTGAAAAAAGGACAATCTAAAGGTACAGAGATACGCACTCATTTCAAGTTTGCTAAGGTTTATTCTTGTGTTTTGCTTTTCCGAATACACTTGCAATGGCAATGAATGAATGAACGAACGAACGCTTATGCAGCCTCAGCCTCAGACTCCCAGAGGAGGTGTTCAGGGCAAATAACTACTCTAGGTATTAAATATTATTAATTATTGTTCTGTTTCTTTTTTTTTATTGAGTTTTTTTCAGATGTTTTTGTTGGTTTCTTTACACTTGTTTTTTTTTTGTTTGTTGTTGTATTGTATTTCTCGTTTTTGTATCTTGTTTGTTTGCATAATAAATTATAGTTAAATTAAACGTAAAATGTTATCAAGTTAGTAATTTTTTTAAGGGCTTTTAGGCGGGGAGGGTGGGTGGTGGTGGTTGGTGGTAGAGGTGGTGCTGCTGGTGGTGGGCTTTGTCCAGGGGGTGGGTGGTTTAGGGGCTAATGTTAGGTCGGTTAGTCGGTCGGCAAAGATGGAAACGTAACATAAAGTAAATAAAAAGAGGAGGAAAAGTGAAAGGGGAGTGGGGAGTGGGAGTGGTAGTGGGGGGGGGGAGTTGTGGGGAAAATGCTGAACATAAACAATAGGCGCAAACATATTTCTTTCTCTCTCTCTCTGCCTGTCCCTACTTTATATAAATATATATAGCCAATCGTATATATAGCTTATACAATTAATTAAGTGGTTTTCTGGCTTGTTCTCGTACATTATTTTACTACTAAAAATAAGTTTCGGCCTTATTTCCAACTTATTGTTTTGCTGTTGCAGTTTTCTTCTGGTTTTTGTTTTGTTTTTTCCTATTGGTTCGTATTTGGTTGCTGTTTCAACTCTCAATATCAGCGTCGTCATCCAATATCTTTCTCGTTCTCTCTCTCTCTCTCTCTCTGTCTCTCCCTAGCTCTTTCTCTCTCTCTCTCTTCCTCGTCTCTCGTCTATTACAATCTACTGCTCCATCTCCAAATTGCTTCCTTCGTCCTCTGTCAAACGCTGCTGGCCACAAAAAATGGGGTTTAACTCTTCTCCAGCTTCAGTTCCAGCTTCCAGATATCTCCACCATCCTCCGCCTCCTTCCCCCTCCCCGGCCAATGCTCCATCATTGCGTTTACTTCTGGACCATCTTGACCAGCAGATCGGTGGAGAAGGACTTGGGACGCTCGATGGGCAGACCCAGGGCACGATCCCACACCAGGGAGGCCAACACGCCGAGGGCACGGGACACACCGAACAGCACCGTGTAGTAGTTCATCTCCTTCATGCCATAGTACTGCAGCAGGACACCGGAATGGGCATCTACATTGGGCCAGGGGTTCTTCACCTTGCCGGTTTCGGTTAGAATTGGTGGCACCACCTTGTAGATCTTGGACACCAGCTGGAACAGCTCATCGTCGGGCAGATGCTTCAGGGCGAACTCACGCTGGCAGGTATAGCGAGGATCGGTCTTACGGAGCACGGCATGACCATAACCGGGCACCACTTGTCCCGACTTCAGGGTCTTCCAGATGTATTCCTTAAGCTGCTCCTCCGAGGGATTGTTGCCGGCCTCCTTCTGCAGTTTACGCAGCCAAACGAGCACCTCCTGGTTGGCCAGACCGTGCAGGGGACCAGCCAAACCATTCATGCCGGCGGCAAAGGACAGGTAAGGATCGCTGAGGGCCGAGCCCACCAAATGAACAGTGTGGGCAGAGACATTGCCACCCTCGTGATCACTGTGGATGGTCAGGTACAGACGCATCAGTTCGGTGAACTGGGCATTGTCGTAGCCAAGCATCTTCACAAAGTTGGCAGACCAATCCAGGCTGGAGTCAATCGAGCGGGAGCCCTTGCCGCCGCGATAGGTATTGCAATAGATGGTGGCAGCCACCACAGGGAGCTTGGCAATTAGATCCATGCTATCCTCGTACACATATTCCCAGTACTTGCTCTTGTGCACACCATCCGAGTAGGCCTTGGCGAACTTGCTGTCATGATTCAGCGCAGTAACGGCGGCAGCAAACTGCGACATGGGATGCAGGGTGGTCGGCATGTTGTTCAGCATGGTGACCACATGCTGGGGCAGAGCGGCACGCTCGGCCCACTCACGGGATAGCTGCTGCACCTGAGATTTGGTGGGCACCTCACCGGTGAGCAGCAGCCAGAAGAGACCCTCGGGCAGGGGTTCAGTGCCGCCATCGGCAGCGGGCAAAACCTTCTGGCACTCGGGAATGGAGAGGCCGCGGAAACGGATACCCTCGTCGGCATCAAGCACTGAGGTCTCTGTGACCAGAGCCTTAATGCCACGCATACCGCCATACATCATGTCGATGGTGGTCTCGCCCATTTTGGTGGCGCCATGCTGCTTGCGGAAATTCTTCACGCGTTCCTGCTCCTGGGGCACCTTGGCGGCGAGAACGTCGCGCAGGCTACGTCCATCGGCGGCAATCAGGCGAACATAGGCTCCAACATTGGGCAGTTTCTGGTAAAAGGGAAAACAAAATGAATAGAAATTATTAAGATGGGAGTTAAATTTATATATAATTGTATATTTTCCATCAATATCTTCTCGAAATACGGGTTTTAAAGAGTTTCAGGAACCTTCCTCGCTTTAAATCTTCCCACTTCTTAAAGAACTGTCAAAAATCTAACATTTGGCATAAACAAATCCTTGCTTATTCGCTAATATCTGACAGTTGACAGCTAACAAGCACATCCGATCAATGTTATCGATAGCCATTTGGCTTGCCATTGAACGGGACTTTCAAGTACAAGGCAAACAAATACACATATGAGCAAATATGTACATCACATGCATGACAGGTGTTTTTCCCCCTTTTTAATGTGACTTGGAAACATCCCTCAGGGGGATTTACCATCGAAGGAGGAGTTTTATCCCCATAATTCAATTTAAGGAGGTTCACTAAACTTTCACCGCACCTCAACACCTGAATAAATCCTTAAGCTATTTTTATTGTTACAGCAAAATTCACAAAAATTAAATATATATTTAATTCAAGTGTTTCAGTGACGTGGAAACATGGGGGGATTTTAATGGGTTTAAAGATTTGAAAAAGTTTTTAAAGAAGTTTAGAAATATAAGAGAAATATTTGTTAAGTTTAGGCATAACTAAGCTGAAAATATTCACTTTCTTTGAATATATACTTATTCAAATTTTTATATAATAATTTTAACGAAAAATCAAAGTTTAAAAATGCATAACTAAGCCAAAAATTCACTAATTTTGAATCGGAAAGCGGTCCTAAGTTAGTTTTTGTTACGTTAATTAATCTGCATACTCAAGATAAAATTTTCAAAAATTAAAATTTTTATCATTTTTTTGTTGCAAATTTTAACGATTTAACCCCTTAAAAAATTATGAAAAAATTAAAATTTGTTTCTTCTTCCTGAGATGGCTAGATCGATTCTCCTGTTGATGCTGATCAAGAATATATATGATTTATAGGGTCGGAAATGAGTCCTTCACTGATTAAAATTATAAAACCCTCTGCTCAATTCTTAAAATCGATATTATTATATATTTTAATTTTTTTGTAAAAATCTAAGTTTAAGAAATTCATAACTAAGTCAAAAATGCATTAAATGTAATTCGGAAAGCAGTCCCATATTAGATTTTAAAAGGGTAATAAATCTGTTTACTCAATTTAATATTTTAAAAATTGATTTTTTTATCGATTTTTTTTTTAATTTTAACGATGTATTTATTTATAAAATTTCAAACAAAAATTTTTAAAAATTGTATTTTTCCCTAAGATAGCTAGATCGATTCGCCTGTTGATGCTGATCAAGAATATATATGATTTATGGGGTCGGAAATGACTTCTTCTCATCGTTACAAGCTCCCAACTAAAGTAAAAATACCCGAAAAGGGTATAAAAATAGTGGATAAAATATAGTGTATATTTTTAAGAACCCCTCATCCCCTCTCACAGCACGCCCCTGTCTGATCTTTGCCACGCGTTGGCATTGTGTCAAACGTAAAATAAAAATACGAAATGATATGGAAATGGAATTCCGAGCTTGCGATTCCAATTCCCATTCCGAATCCGCGCAAAGTGCGATTTTATTTTTGATTGACAACCCACAGTCACAGTCAGAGTCGAGCACTTTTCTTTTATTTTTTATTTTGATTTTTGTTTTTTGCTTTTTGTTTTCTGGTTTCTGTGTTCCGTTTTCTGGTTGTGCGGCCAGTGGGTCAACAAATTCAATTAACCAAGTGAACTTGTGGCGCCTGCCTGCAAAATTGAATTGCATGATTTGTGGAATGATTTGTGGACACACAAACCGGTTTTTTTTTAGCGGGGAGTCACATGTCACCTCTCCATCACCAGTATCTTTATCATCATTATCATCAAGTGCCGAAATTCATGGATAAATCGTTTTGGCCCGATCATCGTGCATATTAATTACCAATAATAGCTGGAGTAAGGAGCCAAGAACAGGTTGTCTTGGTGGTTTTTAAAGTCGGGATCTGTTCGGTTGGCAACCGCAAATGCCGCTTTTTGTTACCACAAGTGAATGCACTTGCAAAAATAACAGAACCTCTTTAGGTCTACATAATAATAATATTAGAAAACATAAATAAATAATAATTCTCCTGAAATACCCCTTAAAATATTTACTAATTAAACAAGTTATATATTAAAATAAATAATAATAACTAATTATACAAGTTAAGTACATATAAACAAAGCTGAAGTGTGCTGCCTTTTTTATAATTATTAAAGCAAAACACACATTGCCTGTTTTTTTTTAATTTTCTGGCTGTTACCAAGGCTTGTTACCTTTTTTATTACCTCAGAAATTTCCTAAGATATATAATATATAACATTTTTGCTTAACAGCAACCTATATCCTTGAAAATTTTGTAGTATTCTTTCATACTTAGTTAAGTATTTGATTTTTTATAAAGCCAAAATAAAAAGCAGATCAAAGTTTGATAACGAAATAAGGAAGAAGAATATTTAAAATTCTGTAAAGATACTGGATATAATGTATATTTTATAATTAAATATATATAATATAATATATATTATTTAATCATACAAAGTACATAATATAATATATAATATACTATAAAATATATATTATAGTATGAAATATATAATATAATATATCAGTTTATAATAAAAAAAACTGCCAAATATGTATTGTATATTTAAAGGTTTTCTATCGCTTTAAATTTAATACAAAAAATCGTTTGTATTTTTAACACTTCCCATTACTTAATAACCTCCTTTTTTTATAGTGTACTTGTGGCTGAAATTTGAAACCTAAACCAACCGGCAAAGCGTCGTTTTGTTACCCGTTTCCCATAAAAAATAACAATAAATATAACTTACATATAGCATTTTTCCCCCCTCAAAGAATTTACTAATTGAGACGTCAAGTGTGCGGTTTAAAGGTGTAAAAATTGCATAACACATTTTTCCTTTACGCATAAAACTTATCGCTTCTTTGGGTCTTTATATTTTTTGGGTTATTCTCGAATATTTTGCATAGGCATTTTCAAGTTCGAATATATAATTCCATGTATGTATATATACATTTTCGAAAGCTGCCTCCTTATCATTATCTGGCGCCCGTTCCGTTCGTTCATCTTGCTGATAAGAAACTGGGGTCTACGCTACGGCGGCGAGTCAGGCAAAATGGATTTCAAGGTCTCACGCGCCGGTAATTATCGCATGTCTAACTAGTCTAATGGGGGAATTGTCATCAAGGAAGCCGACGACGGAGCAGACTTCCTTTCAAGCGTTCCCCCAGCATCATCCATTCTCCTCATCCGATCCGATTAGATTATACAATCTTTACTTCGACACAGAGAGGAGATGAGATGAGATGAGATGAGATGAGATGAGTTGAGAGCTTTTACTGCTGCTGCTGCCAAGAACCTTGGAGTGCGCGGAAAACCCCGGGAAAGCACTGCCAGAGTTGTCATCGAGGTGAGCCGCCAAGTGACCCCGTCTCAATGGGTGTTGTACTCAATGTGGAGATGGGAATCGAATGTTCTCACCCTCAAAATACAGTGAACTTTGGCTAAGAGAGAAGTCTTTTGGGGGTACAAAGCTAAGAAGCTAAGAATCTGAGTTTCTGGGTATTCGGTTATTTAATATACCCCATATATAGCTTTAAAATAAGAAAATGTAATAAATTAACAATATATCTAAAGATTTCAAAATTCTTAAAAGCCTTTTTGGCAAGGTTTTTAAAGAGATATTTCAAGGAAACATTTGAATTTTTACAAATTACCAATATTTAAAAACTTTTTGGTACTTTTTAGATATATTACTGTTGAAATTTTTAGCCGTTCATTAAGTGAATCTAAAAAGTTGGCAATTAATCTCAAGAATTTAATTTTGTAATATTCGTAACTGATTTTTTGGCAATGTTTTTATAACAATTTCAAGACAATATTGAAGTCATTACAAATAAATATTACAACAAATTTTTTCTGTTCTTTATATATATATAAATATTTTAATTAAAAAAAATAATTTAAAAAATCTAATAAATATGAATAAATCTACAAATTTGAATTTCTTATAATTCCCAACTAATTTCTTTAGGTCCTATTTCATGGCAAAATTAAAGTTATTTAAAATTAACAACATTTACGATGATTCTCAAAATACATTGCCATTTTTTCGTATTTTTCAGTTACATAAAAATGTTATAATTTTCTACAATTAATTTTAAACTAAATATTATATAATTACAGCCTTCATGACCCACTAATCCCTGTAGTTCAATTACAGCTTTCGGTTGTTTTTTGTTAGTTTCATCACGAAAACTGTTTGATCTCGCTTTAATGATTAGGGGGGATGTATACATAGATATATACATAGATAAATACATAGATATATGCATAGATAAATACACAGATATATAGCTTGGTATATAGATAGATATATATAATATAGAACCCGACAAAAGCTTAGAACCTTGGATTGTTCTCCTTGCCTAGCGTGACGTTTTCAATTTGGCTTTGGACTTTGCTGATAATAATAATGATGATGATGATGATTTTCTGCTATTAGAGAACGCTTTTCCAAAGCAGTCACTCAGTTCTCTAATAATTGCAGTCTGTCCGAGTTAATCGTCTTAATTAAGTTTAGTGTTTAGCAAAAATCCCCCCCGCTACTCTTCTCTCCTCAACTCTACTTTACTCATTGTGTCAGTCGCCGAAAGTAAACACAAGTACAAGTACAAGTACAATCGTCTCGCATTGAAAGTACCCGCGTGACGTGCCACTCAAACCGAGTCCGAGAGACGGTTTTGTATTGGATCGAATCGGATGGGATTATATATGTATATGTATATATTTGTGGAACTGTTGCCGGGTGAATGTAATTTTGTATCTTATGGTACATTTTATAATGCTGACTAAGCCAGCAATCACAAGAAAAATCACTGACATTACAGGGAAATCCAAATGAGTGGGGTTTTGTGAGGAGAAATGG